ATAGAGGATGGCATGGTTCAGGAGAGATTCCATTCGATTATTTGGTTGTCACAACAGGCACCAGATTGCCCAGCCCAGGAACTATGCCCGGTGATGATAAGCTATCGTCGGTCGACACCTTGAGAGCGCATCAGCAGGCGGTTCAGAAGGCATCTTCTGTCATTCTCATCGGAGGCGGCGCGGTGGGCGTTCAGATGGCTACGGATCTTAAGGAAATTTACCCTGAGAAGGAGGTCACTCTTGTGCATTCACGAGAGCACCTCATGCCTCTTTACCACACCAAGTTGGATGAGATTATCAAGGCTCGATTCGATGAGTTAGGAATCAAGTATGCTCATCAGCGTGACATCCTTGTCTCAACAGTTATTGACATATTACTTTAGGTTGATCACCGGCTCCCGTGCTGTGATTCCTCCTGGCGGTCTTGCCTCCCAGACTTCAGTCAAGCTGCAAGATGGTCGTGGACTCTCAGCGGATCTGATCATCCCCGCAACGGGGCAAATACCTAACAACCAGTTCCTTCAGGATCTCAAGCAGACTGGCGACACCCCTCTTGTAAACCCGGCGAACGGCTTCATCAAAGTGCGACCGACACTGCAATTTGAAGACCCAGCATACCCGCACATGTTTGCTGCTGGTGATATTGCCGACTCTGGTGCGCACAAGGCTGCTCGGCCTGGCGCCGGACAAGCGAAGGTAGTCGCTCAGAACATTCTGGCTATGATCAATGGCCAAGAGCCGACAGAGCACATTGTAGTTACTCCACCGGCAATTCATCTATCATTGGGACTGGTAAGGCCACACCCACGGATAACTGTTGAGAGGAAGTCGCGCTGACCGAGATCTCCTCTTCCCCCCGACGTAGAAAAAGAACTTTGTGTTCAGAAACCCCGATGTTGCAGCAGGACAGACTGAACCAGCAGTCGTGCCGCGAGAAGAGTAAGTTACTGCCGCTTCATGGCCAACCGTTATTGTGTACTGACTTTTATTCAGGGGAACAGCGGACATGAACATTGAGGGCGTGTGGGAGCGAAGAGGTATTCGTGTCACCGACCCTAGAGAGTACCACCTGTAATAACAGAAAGAGTGGAGGCCAATCACTGTTGTGAGAACCTGCAGAGAAAGATGGCGAAATATTCCGATGCACAACACAACGGTCCATAGATAGGCTTAGAGGCCGATCAAACAGTTGTCGCTAACCAGTAGTATATGTCGACCAAAGAGGAAAGGTCAATCAAATAAAAGAGAAATCGTCTTCCAGATCTGTTTTCAAGCGGAGCCGGTAACAAAGACAGGGGGGTTGTTCAACAGATTCACTGTTCCGGGAACGGTTCCGACAAGTGTCGGAATAACGCCCCAAGCTCAAACCTGGTCGATGTCCAGGCTAAGACTGCTAGTCAGCATCGTAAATACTCTCAAAATACCTGACTCTCCTATGTATCGCTAGAAATCTGATAAGTGTCAAATCGAACGAATTTGGGGTGACAAAGCCTGTTGTGTATACGAATCCTGCTTTATTAAATCGTTACTACGCATAGCCCCCCGCTAAATGTCTTCTCTTACTTCCCATCGCCGTCCTCATTTGTAAGATAAGGGTCTAGGCTGTTCATAACTTCTTCATGTCCGAAGCATTCTACCAAGTCCCAGGCTATTTGGTAAGCACCTTATCCCTCTAGGGCGCCATCTTCCAACAACAGCTCGACTATTCCACCATGACCACTTTCAGCAGCTAGCATCAAAGCGCTAAACATATGGCTTTGCCTGTTCTCATATGCCTGAGTCTCGTGTTGTAGAAAGATTTGTACCATATTGTACCTCCCAAGCTCGGCAGCCCATGCGAGAGGTCCGTCATTGGAGCAATATCCCCAGAGATCCGCACCATGAGCGAGCAACAGCTTTACCATTGCCTCGCTTTGACTCTCAAACGCAAGCATCAAGGGCTTAAGGTGTTCCCGAGTCCTAACCAGTAAGTCACCCAGACATACACATTCGCCTACAAATATACGCGAATTCCTCACAGGATTTGATCAAACATCTACACAAGTCTAGTAAGGCTTTGACTTTGTTGACGAAGTACTGTGCCAATAACGAATTCTATCACCTGTTCGCCGTATTCTAGCATCGTGACATTCGCAATTCTCGCTTGACATAATGGCCTCAACTTGAAGTCACATTTATACCGCCGAGAATGGACTTTCATTCTTCCATCCTCAAGTACAATAGAGGTCAGCAAATCCAGCAAGTAAATCTACCATTATAACGCCTCATCTTACTTATTCATGGCATAAGATTATCCAGACATCATTTTTAGTAAGTTAAAATGCAAAATAACTGCACAAATGAGCATATTGCCAATACGGCCGGTTACGATCTATAAACTCTACGCCGAATCCGCTCGAAACTGCGCACTTGAGGACTCTAGAAACTCCGACCATTACTCCAGGCCACCCCAAGTCGATCGCGCGTAGAATGCTAAGCCCGCTGCCTGACAACAGTAGGATAATAATGAAGAGGCAAGGATGCAATTTCGGTGTGGCTAAAAGTAGGTGGTTTGGCTTTTGGTAGATCGGCTTATCAACTCAACACTGAGTGATGCTAATGAAGTTTTGCTTTGCATTACCCAGAGAGGGTGTCTCTTTCCGTGCATTCGGTGTAAATTTCCCCAATGAAGTTAAAGAACATTAGAGTTCGCCACGTCTCCACAAGAAAACCTATCCTGGACGTGGTCGTCAAGCTGCCTGCCCCTTCAGGTTACTGTCGTGGTAAAACTACCCCGTACTGAACAGGCGCTAGCATTCTATTCGGACTTATAAACTCTCGCTTTGCAGGTACGGAAACGACCTAATCACTACCTTACTTGGCACGTCTACAGTGAGTAAGGCTGTTTGAAAAAACGTGGGGTATTAGGAAGTTGAGCTACCTAGTCACTTAGAGGTTTTGTGTCATTACGTATCGGCTTTTAGGCTAAATAGATTGATCTGCGTGAATACGAGGTACTCCCGCAACTTTTACATCTATGTATTGTCGTGCGGGAGGACTGAGATGCATTTTACATGTAGGCTATCCTAAAATTCACGGAGATCTCCCTTTTACCCGCTTTAGTGTGAACCATTGCCGTCGTTTGGTTGAAGTTAAAACACAATTCTATTATCCTTGGTCATGTTGCTCACGCGCGCCAATACTATCATTCTCTGCTACTTTAAGTTGAATGACTGAACCGCACGAATGATGTTCCTAAAGTCATGCTTCATTTGAAAAAGTGCATATAGAGTGATCCTGATATTTATATTTCGCCGTCCACTTCTGTGGGAAACGAATCCCATTAAGTAACCAACGCGACTAGATCTAGAATCTTCATGATTAAGTACAAACATCGACACGTCCAGCATGATGTATTCTTCTAAGTACTGGGTCAATCTTTCTTTTTTACTGGCTCTAAGTCTCTCTCCTTTTGGCTCAGGAATCGTCAGAGCAGACAATCCGATCATCCAGACCGATTTCACAGCAGATCCGGCGCCGGTTGTCTACAATGACCGCGTCTACCTCTTTACCAGCCATGATCAGGATTCCGCAACCACTTGGTACAACATGAAAGATTGGCTGCTATTCTCGTCAGCAGATATGGTCAATTGGCAACATCATGGCTCACCAATGAGCCTTGAAACCTTCTCCTGGGCTACCGTAGACGCGTGGGCAGGGCAGGTAGTTGAACGCAACGGCAAATTCTACTACTACGTCCCCATCAACCGCGGCCCTACCTGGGCGACCTTCGCCATCGGAGTGGGTGTCAGCGACAAGATCGAAGGGCCGTATGAAGACGCTATCGGCGGTCCGCTTCTCGCTAATGGCCAATTCGACCCTACTGTCTACATCGACGATGATGGCCAGGCGTATCTTTATTGGGGCAATCCAGACTTATACTACGTCAAACTGAATGAGGACATGATTTCCTACAGCGGTGACATCGTCAAGGTACCCCTTACAACAGATGGCTTCGGCGATCGCGGTAACGGACAAACTATGTACCAGGAGGGGCCTTGGTTCTACAAGCAAAATGGCCTCTATTACATGGTCTACGCAGCCAAATGTTGCCCTGAGAACATCCAGTACTCGACTAGTCCAAGCCCGACTGGACCTTGGACCTACGGCGGTATTGCTATGGCTACTGGAGGAACGAGCGACACTAATCACGTGGGAATTGTAGAATTCAAGGGCAAGCAGTACTTTTTCTACCACAACGACGCCCTTCCCGGTGGTCAATCCTACAAGCGATCTGTCTGCGTCGAGAGTTTTAGTTATGGAGCGAATGGAACCATTCCGCAAATTCCGATGACATCCGAAGGTGCAGCACAGATTGGCTCCTTGGACCCTTTTGTCCGCCAGGAAGCCGAGACGATCGCCTTTTCGGAAGGCGTTGAGGCTCAAATCACTGCCTCTGGTGGCATTGCCGTTGCATTCATCAACAGTGGTGATTATATCAAGGTCAAGGGTGTTAACTTTGGCACTAGGGGCGCGAGCCAATTTCGTGCCGCTGTCTCATCTGCAACCAATGGCGGCCGCATTGAGTTGCGTCTTGACAGTCGCAGCGGACAATTGATTGGGACGTGTACCATTGGGAATACTGGGGGTTGGCAGACATGGTCAACTATCACATGCCCTGTGAGAAATGCGATTGGCAAACATGATCTTTTCTTCGATTACATTGGTAACGGCACTGAGTATCTGTTCAACGTCGATTGGTGGCAATTTTCGTAGTGCTTGAGTCGTCAAGACTCCTATTTAAGTAGGTAGCTATGTATTATGGGAGCTTGAAGCCCGATCCCGTCAAGGTCGATCTTTTGCGCCTATGAAGCCAGCCAAAATCCATTACATAGGAGATGCCAGTCCGCATTATATCTTCTTCAAACCTACCCTTGTGTCTTCAATAACGCCAACATCATTTACAACTCAGTCGATGACACACGCCAGTCTATTCATGTATCATATTGGGGCTACCTCTGTTAGACAATCGCGACAACCTCTCTGTCCAGCGATTGAGCCAAGACCATCTCATAGTACATTCCCCGCCTCTGGAAAAGTTCCTCATGAGTGCCGTTCTCAGCGACTTGGCCTCTGTGCAGCACAAAAATTCGGTCGCAGCGCTGTATAGTCGACAGGCGATGAGCCACAGCAATAGTGGTCCGGCCAGGCTTCTCTCGCGCGACCGCCTCGATGGCAGCTTGTACCAGCACCTCGTTGGCGGTGTCTAGGGCGCTAGTGGCTTCATCAAAGAGTAACACCTCCGGCTCGCGGATTAGCGCTCGAGCGATTGCGAGACGTTGGCGCTGACCCCCGGAGAGAGCGACACCGCGGTTTCCGACGTCGGTCGCGTATCCGTCGGGCAAGCTGCTAATAAAATCATGCATGTTGGCCGAGCGGCACGCGCGCTCCACGCGATCATCTGCGTCGGGCGCCGCCGCCTCATCGTCTGGAAGACCAAGGAGAATGTTATCCCGGATGCTGCCCTGGAAGAGCGCGGTATCCTGCGATACAAGGCCGATGCGGGAGCGGTGAAATTGTACGTCCAAATCTCGGATAGTTGTGCCCTCAACGAGGAGCTGTCCAGAGTTGATGTCGTAAAATCGCTCTAGAAGGGCAACAATGGTACTTTTACCGCAGCCCGAGGCGCCTACGATGCCAACGGACTGGCCCCTTAGGATCTTGAGATTGAGACCGTGTAGTACACAGCGATTTGGCCGGCTGGGGTATGCAAAGGTCACGTCGCGGAATTCGATGGCTACCCGGTTGTTCTCGCTCTCCGGCAATTCCTTGACGCCGGAGGAGGTATTGATGGGAGGCTGCGATATGCGCAAGTCAATGATGTGATTTGCCGCCGAATGTGCTCTCGAAACGTCTGTTACAAAGGTACCCGTTAGTATTCTAGTCTTTCACTGCCTGAAGAATCCGACTTGGGATGTGTGGCTTGATGAAGCAACTTACTCGACGAAAAGCCGAACAGAACGCCGCCCGATTGCGACCCCATAAGCACCGCCATGAAGACAATGAAGAATGTTCGCATATCGTAATGACCCTCAGACAACAGCTTTCCGCCATACCAGAAGGCCAGGCCCGTCACGGCCATGTTGATACTTTCAGCGAATGCGTGAACAACCATCGTAATCATCTTGCTACGTAGTTCCCGACTGGCACACTCATCAAGACGAGACTTGAAGCCGTTCAGAACCTTGTCTTCCAATGTCAAGCTAGAGATGGTACGAATGGCGCCGACAGCCTCGGATGCAAAACGAGCGCTTTCCAGGTACGTCTGGGTCAGGCGGTCCTCGTTGGCCATTTCGAGTCGCAGGCGGAAGGAACCGGCACCGAAAAGTGTCGGCATGCCGCCCGCAATGACGACCAGACCCAGACGCCATCCCATGGCGACTGCCAGAACAAAACACGAGACTATGTCAACAAATATGACGATAATAAGAGCGAGGTTGGTGGACAGCAAGTTTTGAAGCCGCTGAGGATGCAGGGAGAGTCGGCTAGTCATCTCGGACGCACCGTGGCCCGCGGTGTCAAAGAAAGAAACATCCTGCCGCAACATTGCGTCGAAATATCCCCGGCGGTAGAAGCGCGTGGTGTGGAACGATGCTATAGTCCAGAAGAACCCGACGCCAAGGTAGCACACAAAGACACCTAGGCTGAAAACGAAGTACATCAATGCCCAAAAGTTACCGCGCTCTACCAAGTAGTTGCCGGGAAGAAGCTGCAAAGTCGGGAGACTGGATCCGAAAAGGACTGCCTGCGCGGGGAATAGGCCACCACCAGCTGCCGAGGATAGGATGCCAAAGAGCCAGACTGGCCAGATGTGCCAGTGCTCCTTCCAGATGATAATTTTGAGGCACTCCGCGATGGAAAGCTTGCGAGAAACATCTGCGTCTTCGTCCTTGGTTTCGTGTTCAATCTCGACTGGTTCTGCGGCAGAATAAGATTGCCTGCTTGCAGACTTCGACAAGACCACCGGTTTGTCATCTGCACTGTCGACTGAGCTATCGTCCCGGTATGGAACTTCCGAGGGCTCGTATATCTCTATACCCGCTTGTGCAGCTGCCGCCTCGCCTGTATGGAGTGTCTGAGCATTGACAAGCTCGTGGTACGCCCCCCTTAGATCAAGTAGCTGCTGATGGGTACCCTGCTCAACAACCTCGCCCCGACTCAGTACAACGATCTTTTCGGCCTTCTGGACCGTTGAAAGTTTGTGCGCAATCATGATTGTAGTCCGCTGCTTAGAGACATTGTCAAGAGAAGCTTGTACTTTTCTCTCTGCCGTAGGATCCAGGGCTGATGTAGCTTCGTCGAGCAGGAGGATCTGCGGGTTGGAGATGACACTCCGGGCAATGGCAATACGCTGCTTTTGCCCTCCACTCAACAAAGCGCCGCGTTCTCCAACCTTGGTGTCATACTTTTGCGGCAGCTCCTGGATAAACTCGTCCGCAAACGCCTGGATGCACGCTTGTCGGACAAGTTCTCTCTTCTCGGGCTCGGGGAGATCGTTCTTGGGAGTTCCGTATAGTCCATGGACTACATTGTTGTAGATCGTGTCGCTGAAAAGGACTGGTTCTTGCTGAACAAGGCCGATCCTCCCACGCAACCATCGAAGGTCAAGGTCAGCAATGTCATGGCCGTCCAAGTGGATAGATCCGCTAGTTGGGTTGAACCATCGTTCGACCAGTGCAACAATCGTACTCTTTCCAGAACCAGACGCACCCACCAATGCCGTGACCTTTCCAGCCTCAAAGATTAGGCTGGCGTCACGCAAGACTTGAACAGAGGGCCTTGACGGATAGGCAAAGCTGATGTTGCGTAGCTCGACCAGGCCTTCACACTTGTCAGGCCGCTCACCGGTGTCGGCCAAGGGATCGATCTCGGACTTGCGATCAACCACCTCAAACATGCCCTGAGCGGCAGCTGAAGCCTTGGCAAAGTCACCGAACCCTGGGGCCACGTTGGAGGCAGCGTTTGTACCCAAAAGGACCGCGAGCAGCACTGAGATGATTTGCCCACCGCCCCCGATCTCGCCGCTGTTGAGCAGCTTTACACCATAGAACCAGGCAAGGGAGTACGCACAGTAGATCGTGAAGAACTCCACACTCCACTGGACGCCGATGACGGGACCCTTGCGGAAGCCAAGCTTCTGCGCCCCTGCCAGGTAGTCGTCGTACTTGCGGCTCAGCTTCGCACTGGCATTGTAAGCCGTCACGATGCGGGTTGAACCCAGAGCCTCCTCAACCAGGCCACCGGCGCGGTTATATATCTCTAGGATCTTTGCCTCAATCTTGGCGTCTGATGGTGAATTCTGATTAGCGCTGAGCAATCAATGCAGGAGGACAGCATATTTACCGAGGCCAAAAGTGATTTTGAACCCGATGAAGAGAATGGGCAGCGAAGTAGCCGTGACAAGGGTAAGCTTCCACTGCCGCGTGAAGGCTACTACAAAAGCGGCAACGAACATGGACATGTTCTGGATTAGGCTGCCGACCTTCTCGGTGCTGCCGTTTTCCACCATGTCAGCGCTGTTTGAGATGGTGGACGCGACGGTGCCAGGCGCACAGGAGTCGATGAAGGAAACATCCTGTCGGATCATCGACCGGATGAAGTCGACGCGAAACGCTCTAGTCACACGAATGCCCACAAGACCGAAGCACGTGGAGTGCACGTAGACGAGAAAGAAGCGGCCGATGAAGAGATAGAGCAGCCAAAGGGCGTTCTTGGACATGTTGCGGTAGAGGTCCTGTCCCGAAATACTGCCATTTTCATAATCATTGAACTGATTCACAGAGGATCCAAACACCACTGTCATCAGTGGAGGTAGGATACCGGAGGCGATAGCAGCAATTAGGCCGATGAGCCGGAGGGCGTGATCCAGCGATGTAGAGTAAGACCAGTGCACGCGGAAGAAGAAGTGGAGCGACCCGGGCTTCTTCCCTTTACTGTCTTTTGCTTTGCCATCGTGAATTTGGTCCTTGTCGCTTATCCCGTTGTCGACTTGGCCTAGTTCGCTGTTTCTGGAGTTGACGGCGGTGTCTGTCTTGGCGAGCGTGGCAGGGGGGGCCGACTTGTCTCCGAGGTCTGCCATCTAGGACGTTGACGTTCGCGCAAGTGCTTGCGACCGTTCTCGCCAAAATTTCCTGTGAACAAAATAGAGGACTTTTGCCGAATAAGGTTGGTCGGTAGAAGCCCAGTTGTTAGAAAAGAAATCCAACCACGGCCGTAGAGAAAACAGGTGGGAAAGGGAGTTGCGTGACGCCTATCGGAAAAGGGTTTTGTGGACAACTGAAAGGCGCCCAGACAGCCTAGATAAGAAGAGTTGGACGAAATGCATCACTGTAGCATGTGTAACGGCACAGTATCTTCGCTTACGATACATAAAGATGATTCATGTTCATACAGGAGACGACATCGCGAATGCGGAAGGTCATTTCGTATCCAGATGATGCAAACTTGTGGGTCTTTTGCAGCATGTAGGGGTCCTGGAGTCTAGATCAAGTCCAATCTTTGAGCATCACGTTTTATTAGCTCGGTAAAGGCTTGATCTACGGTTGGTGCTTATCTTGTTGGTTGTGTACTTGGCCCGTTGTCCGCACTGTGTTCGCCATAAACGGTGGTTCACTGTAACAGACACTCCGGGGTTGGAATATAATATGTGTATGGGAGCTGACTTGGGACATGTGTACTCCGTATTCGTAGTCTAGACTCTAGAGTCTAGAACGCCGGGGGGTTGTCCATTGCGGGTCGTCCCGTACGTATCGTCTGCCAGGACAGGGGAAGGGCAGCAAGGGGGAGAGGTGCCGCGGTGCCGCGGTGAGAATTACATGTAGACACACCCTCACATACTATACCAGTTAGGACCGTATTGTTAGCCTATACAGGGCTAGCGACAGCTCAAAGATGCACATGTACGGCGGGCCTAGATTCGATTGCTCGGTTTACAAGATGTGTGTGAAACCCTACAGGCTTACAATATGAGGGGGCGTACAGCTATCTGTCCCTCGACAGGCGACATCGCAGTGTTCCAGCCATCGGTAAGGTATGTCGGTGTTGTGACCGCGGTTACAATGCATGAAGGAACCTTTGTATGCAGGGACCGTTATTTCCACGCGGGAGGGGGTGAATCCTCTTAGCCGCGACATGGTATGCAGGGACTTCCGACACGGGCAGGCATCTCACTTTCCGAGTATCTACATCAGCCATGCCTGATTCTGCTTCAACAAGTATCACTACCGGACAGATACTTCAGATGTAGGCAAGCAAGAAAGCCTATCTTCAGGCCCAGATCCCGTTCGCTTCATTGATATGCTTCGGAAATAGCCTGGACCTAAAGACAGATGGAGATACAGCGGCTAAAGCCTCGCGATGCAAGGATGAGGACGCATGCTCTTCTACACGTGTACATGTGCGGAAAGTTGTATGCAGGGTCTACGGTTTCGGCCCAAAAGCTCACTTCCCCGGCTTACACGCATCGAGAAGGATGGTGGGCAAGATATCATAGGCGCAAGGCATCTGGAAGCGCGGCCTCTAAGCCATCCTGTTGCAAACGAGGAAGCGGGCATTGTGAGATGGCGGACGGAATCGGGTTTTCACGGATCTTGTAACGTAAATGGTTGTTCCTCCAATCATTTCCTCTCCTGTCTGGCAAGCTTTCGGGAAAACGGCCTTTCGCGTGAATGCCTTCAGACCCATTATCGCAGGCAGACAAAAATAATGGTAACGCCATGCTTAGTTATCCAATGAGAAGAACAGGATACGTGGAGAAGGATGAAGCCAAGCTTCACCCCGGAACATGATTTAACAGATGGAAGAGAGGGGTAAGCCTCGGTATTGCAGTATGCTCGGAAACGAAGTCCTACGCTAGATGAGGGTGACTGGGTGCCGAACAACAGGTGTACTGGGGGATCGTGTGATGGGAAACAGCAAGCCGGGAATGACAACGAACACTGTGAAGCGTGGTCATTCGAACTTGATTGGCGAGCATAGTGGTAGGTTTACGGGTTTTACCTCGACGCCGAGATTTGGCTCATATGTAGCTAAGTGCCTAGCAATAAAACCAGTCGTTGGCCCTGAAGAATTGGTTTCTTTCATGAATTCTTTCTTTCTTATGTTCATACAGAAATTTCTTTTGACCCACTGCCTTCCTCGAAATGTCCAACATAGAGGTTTTGATCAACACTCTGGCCACTGATGCTGCTGTCATCGAGGAGCCTAACGGCACAATTTCCTCGGTGGCAGGCATCTTCCCAAAGGCAGATTTTCTTTGGTCATTGATCAATTTAGGCGAGACTAATTGTGGCGACTTGGCTCGTCGCCTGTTTTTTATTTGGACAGGCTACGTTGTTGTACGATGTATTTACAACCTCTACTTCCATCCTCTTTCTAAGATCCCCGGTCCATGGCTAGCTGCTATGACGCCGCTCTGCGACTTTTGGTACGATGCCGTAAAGAACGGCAACTACCTTTGGGAGATCCAGAAGATGCATGAGAAATACGGTAAGACCGATCCATTTCACTACTCTTACCAGCAGACGTCATCGGGCGGTCTCTTGCACAGATTGCTGATTGTTATTGATATAGGCCCAATTGTTCGCATCAACCCCAACGAAGTTCACATTGATGACCCAGAATACTATCAAAACGTTTATGTCGGCGGCACTCATCGCATCAACAAGGACTCGTCTACCGTAGCCGGTTTTGGTGTCCCTGCATCCGTAGCAGCCACCGTGAACCACGCCCAGCACCGTTCACGCCGCGGCTATATGAACCCCTACTTCGCAAAGCGGTCCATCGTTTCCATGGAGCCCCAGATTCATGAACGTATCACGGCCATGCTCAACCGCCTCGATGGTGCTCGCAAGGACGGCACCAAAATCTCGCTGGACCTCGCGTTTTCCGCCATGACGGCAGACATTATCACCCAACGCTTCTTTGGCTACCACTACGACTACCTCAGCATCCCCAGCCTGGTTTCGCCCATTCGTGAGGCCTTCAAGGGTGTTTCGGAAATCTTTCACTGGACTCGCTTCGTGCCGTGGGCCATTAGATACCTCAAGAAGCTGCCCATCCCAGTTATCCTTCTCATTCTACCACCCGTCGCGGAACTCCTGGTTCTACAAGAAGACATTAAAATCAACATCAAGAACAAGCTCGCTAGCGAGAACAATAGTCCTCAGTCCAAGTCAATCATAATTGAGGCCCTCGGCGACTCGCACGTCCCTGCACAGGAACGCACCATGGAGCGTCTTGTAGATGAAGGGCAGGTCATTATATTCGCTGGAACAGAGACATCATCAAGATCGCTTGCTGTTGGCATGTTTTACCTGCTCGCCAACAAATCTCTTGTCAACAGAGCCCTCGCTGAGCTCTCCAGAGTGGACCACATTCCCGACGAAGAGCTCACAATGAAGGATCTCGAGACACTGCCCTTCATGGTACATTTACTTCCCTGTTCACTGATGGCGCACGCAGCCGAAGAATTTCCGTCAACTAACCGAAGTCTTAGACTGGCATTGTGAAAGAAGCTATCCGCCTCTCTTACGGACCCATCACCCGTCTTCCAAGGGTCTTCACCCACGAGACGCTACAGTACAAGGACCATGCCATTCCTCCTGGTGTAAGTGCTTATATTACCTTTCTGGGCTTGCGAGCACATTTTCTAAGATGAATTACAGACGCCTGTAAGTCAGTCGACGTATTTTGTGCACACGAATCCCAAGTGCTTCGTGGACCCCTTCACCTTCAACCCAGACCGCTGGGTAGAGGCAGCCAAGGCAGGGTTTCCTCTGGAGAGGTACCTCACGAGTTTCACCAAGGGGTCCCGTCAGTGCCTCGGCATCGGGTTAGTAAAAGCATCCATTAATCCTGTCTTCCGTCGCATAATTCTAATGACCACCGATATCCAGCTTAGCTCACGCCGAGCTATATCTGACATTTACCCGCGTTCTTCGTAACTTCGATATGGATTTGGTGAACACTTCGATTGCAGACGTTCAGGTCCATAACGTCTTGATCATTGGGCAACCCAAGCTCGAGAAGGATAAGGGCGAAGGACAGGGTGAAGTCGAGGTGATGGTTACACGCAAGCTAAGGCCCTAAGATAATGTTGGTTCCGCGGAGGTGTGGATGTCTGATCTTTCCAAACGATGTTTGGGACACTCCCTGAGGACCAGGAAAACTGGCAGAAGCTCTGATATGACAACGCAGAAACTGTACAGCGTTTTTGATTTTTTAGATTGCTGTCTCAATTTAGTTGTCCCGGTCGCTTTCTTTCGTCGATATTGTTTCCTCGTGCTCCTAGGCTTGCAAAGTAGGTTCGAGGTGGATTGAACTTCCAATAAGTTGTAATTTGATGATGTATTGCTAAACATGACTCCCCGTCAGAGTATTTGACCGAATAAATAATAGTAAATTGAGCTTAAACTGCAATAAAGAGGGAAAACCAAACTTGTGGTGATACTCCAAGCATAGAGTCCCCAAAAGCCGTACGCGAGTAGCTTGAACTTGCACAAGACCACCAAGGGAATTTTCAGGGTCAACCTCTGTGAGAAAACAATACCATATATGTGACAGCTAATGAGACCCAAGTACATTCGCTCGGAATTTTGTCGCGAAACGGAAGTATGTTAATACGAAAGTTCAATTATCAAGACTCCGCCTATCCTAAATACAAAAATTTATAACGCCCCAGATCAGGTAACCATGATCCCCATGGGAATGACTAGATATACTCCTGCGGCCAAAACTTCTTTGCCCACTTTGATACAGCACCCACAGTGTTGCTGGCATTGATAGACGTCTTCGGAACTAGTGGTGTCGCGACTTGGACTACCTCCTCAACGCTATGATCCTCAACAAGGTCAGCAACAGGAGGGTAAGCCCACTCCTTGGGGTCAACAGCCCCAACGAGGTCACCGGCAGCCTGGTACCGACGGAACTCCTTCGCCGTGGCAGTATCACCGCCAGCAGCGCTAGTGACGAGTTCACGGAGACGGTAGCGAGGATCGCTCAGGTGCCAGGTGACATAGCCCTGGCAGAAAGTCTGGAGGGTGTCAGCGATGCTTGGATCCTTGTCGGCAAAGACCTCGACGATCTGCTCCGAGCAGCGGATTGTGTCGCGCGTGAGCTTGTTCAGCGCCTCGGCCAGCGTGATGCGGTCACACTTGGCGTAGTTGTTGACGAGTGACGTCTGGTCACGCGGCTCATCGAATTCTAGAGGGTTACAACTCATTTAGCGAGTGATCTTGGCAAACCGCTTGTGCCTTGGCGAGCACGCAGGCAACGAATCGGATCGCACGGGGAAGAAACAAGCTTATAGTTTAAGCTTCACGCTTCTACCCCGCCGACGATAATCGGCTCTGCATCAATGCCAAGCTTGCACTGGAGATGAGATAAGGTAATGAGCGTACCTTTGTAGAATGATAGTAGGTCGTTCACAAACACCATCCAGTTCTCCATTTGAGAGATGACAGACGTAATCTCAGTAAAGAGCACCTTTTCGTCAAACTGGGCTTTGGGAAAGATGGATGCCCCGACGCAGTGGCCGAGGCCGTTCATGCGACGCAGAAAGCCGGGGAAGTCGTATGAGCCCGGAAAGCCCTGGAAGTTATGTTGCTCAATCCAGCAACCCTGGAAAACTGTGGACCGTTTAGCTTCCTGCGCAGGAACATGAGAATTGTGGGCATTCCAAGGCTCCTTACAGTCGGTCGTGCTCCGGACCAGGTTTAAACCACAGTATGGACCGTAATGGCTAAGCACAGTTGGGAACTGCGCGTTCACCATCTGCCACCAAGGGTGCCGTTGAGGCTTCCCGGCAAGGAGATCCTGGTAGAATGACTGCATAGTTGCGTCGGGGTCATCTTGGCTGTCATCAAGCACTAGCATATAAGTGTAGTGGATGCTCAAATCTGCCATAACCTCGGGATCGACGCGCACCCAGGCATAGACTACCATAGCCACAATTGTCTGAAGAGATGCCTGGAGACGTCTTGGGCTGGCTTTGATTAGACGCTGCTGCGTCGGCTGGGCAAAGTGCTTCGCCGCCTTAGCGTAAGCATAGTGTAGGTTACGGACCCTCTCCTGGTGTGTGTAATTGGTGTCGTTATAGTTGATAATGCTCAGAAAGCTCACGACAGCATCAAGATAACAGTCTGTGGGAAAGCTTGCGGTGTCCATGATGTTTGCTGCTGCCTCCGTTTTGTGACAAAATGGGAAATGACTCAATGAGGGGGAATGGATGAAGAGAGACTAAAGCTTCAAGACAACTTGGAACATGAGGAAATGAGAAGACTTAAAGGGCAAATATGGCATCGAGAAATTGCCTATTTGGCTTGCAGTCAGATGAGATGCTACTGTTACTCTTCACAATCTCGCACGTCTGGTATTGCCTGGCCCCGTGAAGAAAATGCCCAACACGTATCATGCAGCGCCAATATCTTTCTTACACCTGCATAACAACGTTTTCCTTCGCATAAAGCTGAAGTACGCAAACAGGAAAGGTCCATAAGGATTTCGCCGTGTTGAAGCTGATTGTTCTTGCCCCTCACGGGTTCTAGGCCGTGTCTTTAGCGCAAGGGAGTCAGACTTTGTCGTATTTGGTCAAGTTTGACATCTGTACGTCTTAGATGGATGGCTAGACGACAACATCATCAGCTGGATTTGGAGGACATTGCGAGCGCGCGTGAAGAAAATACCCCGGTCAAATCACAAAAGGGCCCGACGAGATGGAGCGATACGTTGATGTATGTACAGATACATCAAGTTACAACTGCGCGAAGAGGAGGGCAAATCCTGCTAATTCTGCAAGGGTTTCGGATCTCATACACATGGCTACGTCTATTTCGGCCTAAAGGTCACTTCGTAAGCCTGCAAGCCCCTCAATCACCGCTGTTGCGGTCTGTTTGCGGCACAAAACATGAGATACGATATGGGCTTGAGAAGCAAGACCTAGGCCAAGAGGCCGGGGGCGAGACTCGTAAACTGCATCATGCTATCCATGTTTGCACTCGGGCTCATACTACGTGTCTAGTCAACGGGAAATCTGGGCCTACTTTCTCTTTCATTTGCCGCATATGAACATGCAGGAAACCACTTGGTGTTGTGGCCTCCCCCATACTAGGACACCGGAGAGTTACGCTGCATACAGGGGACTTATGTTGTAGACTCCTCGTGGACTTCTGCACCAGCTCCTTCAAGTCATCCTGCTGATTCAATGCAACTTTATCAGTACACACCGTAATCAAAGCGAAGAACACTTACAGGTGGACTCGCAGCCGGCGGAAGTCCACCGCATCAGCCGCAGAGATCCTCTAACGATCTAGCCGAGGCGGCAACTAGTATAGGCGCCGTGAGTTTCCGAACCCGCTGCTAGTGCATAACATTGAATTAGTAGGCGCAAGGCACTGTTTTCCGTGTGTGCAACATATCGGTGTCTAATACCGAGGAGTCTAGGTGAAATGGATACTCATGCAACGTAGCCCAGGAATCTGCCAATAAAATTGCCACAAAGCCGCTTCTGACCCAGCCGAATCTGATTGCACTGTATTGCGCCATGTAATCGCTGGGAATAGTACGGCTTGGTTTACAGCCTTTGCGCTGACATCTTACAAGGGGATAATATGACAACAGGGGCGGTAGGGCTTTCTATTAAGGGCAACTCGTTGGTCAAGCTTTTGTGATCCGTTTTTTGCATATGCAACACATAAGTACCTACTCCGCACGGATTGTGTGCCGGGTGGGTGTGCGCATATGTGTGATTACCCCCTGCTACTGATTATGGATACTACGTGAGGTGGATCTTCAGGGACATTCCAAAACGGCAGGCCGTTTACGGGCGTCATTCTCTGTTGCCTTACTTGTCAGTGTGTTACTGAGTAGTGATAAGTAGGGGCGTGGACCGTACGTTTCCGCCCATGTATCTCGGAGGCTCCGTTCGCAGATGGGGCTGGACCCTGATGCTCAGGGTCCTTTCCGTATGGGCCCGATAAGAGTCTGGGGTTGAAGACACTCAAGAAATAAGTGCGAAGCTTCAGGGTCCGTCCCACAACCAAAGTACTTTGAGGGCAATGGGAACAGAGACCCGGACCGGAAAAAAGGATTCTAGACCTTGGGAGACCTAATCTGGGAGACCGAGTTGGAACGGAGTATGGGGCTTATTGCCATTCCCACAACACTGATTGGCCGTATCAGTGCGACCACCATGATGCGTATTGTTTTAGCCGACGGAATGCAACAGTGCTTGCCAAAAGTACTATAAGCGCAGGCCGTTTGTGAGCAATCCCGGCCAATGTTAACGGCTGTGCCACAACACAGCATCTCGTATCGTACTGAATTGTCGCGATTTCTTTGATTTTCCCCGTCGAACGTCCAGTAAACCATCGTCTGAATGTGCGAATGCCTTGCTTCTAACGCGTTATCCGATGGATTGAAAGGCTTAGTCAGAGATTCTCACAAACATTCGCGATTGAAACGTAAAATGGTACCCTTAGACATCGTAGCTCGTTCTCTACATATCAAAATGAAGAATACTCGTAGAAATGAAAGACAACACCAATAAATCCAGCGAATTTGGACATAGACATAGAGTAACGAACTGTGAAGATTTTGTGAAAGCTGATCGCTGTCCTCAAGTTCATCTTCTACAAATGCGATGAAGTAGCGTACAACATTGGGTCAAAGTGTGCATGATTGTTCTTAACAACATGGATTCATTCTGAATTTCTGAGGTCATCCTATTATCCTGTCTAGTAAGGCTATTATTTGGCGCGAATCACCACCCGACTCACAGCTCATTTGCTTGAACCTGTTACATCATGACTACAATATGGTGGGATGTGAACTACATGCAAACGTAGAGCCTGTCGCACCGAGTGCAGCATGCAAATCATCTACAGCTCAATCTCCTCCTTGCGGCGGCGAATCACAATTCGTGCATTGTCGTTAGCCGACCAGTACAAAGCCTGGAACGTAGGATCCGTGGGAGCGCCCGGAGCCAGCTTGAAGTCGTACTTCAGAAGGATGTGGCTGAGGGCGATCTTGAGCTCGTTGGCGGCGAAGAAACGGCCCGGGCACGCATGCTTGCCCATGCCGAAGCCCAGGGC